TCGCGGTGGTATGAGTCCGGCCCACACTCGGACCCAGGAGCGCTGCAGCTCCCGGAGAACTGGCTGCCTGGGCGCAAGGCGCGGGGGGCTCAGTTGTGTTCCTTTCAATTCTCTTCTATATGATTTAAACAAATAATAAACTTCCTAATTTTCTTTCCAATGCATTTTCTAATGTCTCTGTTCCCTGAAATTACTTTTAACTTCAAACTTTATTCAGCTGCCCTATATTTTATTAAAGACTAAAAGATATAAAGCAGATGCTCATCTTTTCTAATTATGAAAATATAGCAAAACAAATTCAGTGGCAGACAGAAATGGAAAATAACTCCCTCCATGTTATAAATGGGGCAGACATTTAATGCTGATTAAAAGAATATTATGGGGAAAAATCTGTATCTAGAGAAAAGCTTGATTTACTGTTAGAGGTGCTAAAGATACTCTACTATTTATACAATTTCATCAAAATATTTTTACAATCTCTTTAACAAAAAAGAGATAAGTATTTATTAAACATTTACTTTATTCTCAGAATTTAAGAATATAAACAGTGTATAAAAACAGGCCCTGCTCTGAAGATCTTGCAGTTTAGTGGATGAAGAAGGCAAACATAGCAATGCATTCAAGTACAGCCAAAACATATGTATTCTTCCCACCCTTCCCTCTAGTTCTTTAGGAAGACCTGTTTGTTCTCTAAAACATAGTTTAAATCTGTCTTCCTTTTCAGAGCAGCTTGATTTTGAATTTCAGAGATCACCTAATTGATGCTCAAAGATCAGAGTGTTTTTTCTCCATTTACTGCCTGATGATTCTGATGAGTTCTTCACTTTACCTTGAAATGCTGAGGGATGTTTGCATGGTACTCACTGTAAGATGTGTCTTTCTATTCCTCTCTTACCACAGAGTCATCAGAAATCGGGCCTTCCCTGGTGATTCACACCACAGTCCCATTTGGAGTTACGTACTTGGAACACAGCGTTGAGGATGTACAGGAGTTAATCCTTCAGCAGCTGGAAAACATTTTGCCAGGTTTGCCTCAGCCAGTTGCTAGCAAATGCCACAAATGGAGACATTCGCAGGTAATCAAATACTCTAGCTGTATGAGTCACATTTTCTTGGTATCCCAGCAGAGCTATTTCATCCTTTGCCACACTTTAGCAAAATAAATGAACAGTGGGGTCTTTGAAGCACCTATGTTTGCCTAACGTGTACATGTAAAGTCTACAGGTTTCATTGTCCTGCTATTTCTTAATAAGAGGGACATACAGTTTATACCATTGTTCTGTGCCAGTTCTGGCACCAAAAAGCATGCACCCTGAAATGCTGGAGTTCCCTATGCAAGCAAAGCAGGTTATATATCAAAATGCAGCTGTTTCTCTGGGGGTTTTGTAAATCAGTTCTGTGGCTATATAAAAACCACTAACCTCCCAAATTTTTGAAGACTGTCAAATTAACCTTGTAAGTATATTTTGCTACTATGATTTTCATTTTTATCAAGTTCCCACTTTGGTTTAACTGCTGCCAGCAAAAGTCTTTAGGGGAGAAAGATGAGCGCCTGCATGTAGCAGCTAGTTGAGCTATTTTCCAGGGTTAGATAAACCTACTGATGGCTCAGCTACCTCAAACTCAAGGCTCTTTACATTAAGTAAATGTTGACTTTTTGGAAAATCTTTGCATGGTACAGCAGAAGCTTGTGGTATTTGGAGAAAAGGACTTTTGCTCTGTAAACCCAGTTGTTAAGGGATTTGGTGGTTAATGGAACAAAGGGTGGATGGAGAAAAGATGCTATGAGTTGTCTGGTTTTTTCCTGAGATTTCTAAGTCTCTTGATTAACAGATTTATCTGCACTACTGGTTATCTAAACTGTGAGCCCTTTAGAAAAACTGGTGTTGTGGGAAATGCAGAAGATTTTGTATATTTTAAAGAGTGTTCGAAAATCAAGAATTGGTAAACTGCTTTCTAAAACATTGCAGCAGTCGATGTGTTTATTCATATCTTCTCAAGTTAAATTATACAGTCAACCTTTGGGGAAAATATTTACTTAAACATGTCATGGTCACTTTAGAAGACTGCTTTTTCCTTTTAAAAGCATTAAAAACCTTAATGGCTAATGTCTTCAAATGATCTTTAACTGAATTTTAGGTCAGCTTGAAAAAGAAGTCAGAGAGATAATCTTGTTATAATTTGAAACTAGATATATAACACACCAAGTCACTTTGGAATTCATAAGTATTCCTTTACAGACAATAGTTTGTAGGACTTCTTTTTATACTTTCTCAAAAATAATTTATTAATAAGCTGAAAATGGTTTAAAATTTATTTCTTTAAGTTAGAGCTATTAATAAAATAGGTTTGTGCAATATCACAAAACTTAATTTAAAAAATTCCTTTGAACACAATGTACATTCAAATCCTCATAATAATTTTTATTACGATTTGGATGGTGAGACTACCACTATATTTACAACTCTTAAAACCTACATTACCTACAAAGTATAAAAGGGAGTAAGCTTTTCAAACTTAGAAGTTTGCATTTCCCATTATTCATGTATTTCTCTAGTATCTTGAACACTTCACAAAATATAACATTATTATCTGTGGCAGAGATCTTATTAACACGCAGTTTCTGTACATATCACATCACCCTAGGAAGTAGATTAATGAAAGGTCAGGAGATTTAATATAGTTGAAGTAGTTTGCAGCATCTCTTCTCAAAAGAACAATTCTCCAACCCTCTTTAAGGGTCGGTCTTAACCTTTGGAACTGAATAGAAATGTATGCTCCTGTGCCATCTGAGTACACACTGTAAGCATGTATATATGGAACAATCTGCTAATTTTTAAGTTTCCCTCCTTCTGGGTAGAGGTACAGTGCCCCTGCAGGGAAAATCCTGCCTGTGTTTTCTTCCAGCCTGCATCCCACATAATGTTTCTTTTCCTCCAAGAAGTGGTGAGTGGGACTTTGGGAAGACAGTTCAGTAGTTTCTTAGAAAACTAGATACACACTTACTATAAAATCCAGCAATCATTCTCCTTGGTATTTACCCAAAGAGTTTAAAAATTTATTTCCACACACAACCTGCATCTGAATGTTTATAGCAACTTTATTTATAATTGCCAAAACTTGGAAGCAACCAAACATCCTTCAGTAGATGAATGAATAAATAAACTGTAGTACAATGGAATATTATTCAACACTGAAAAGAAATGAACTATCAAGCCATAAGAAGTCATAGAAGAAATTTAAATGCATATTAGTAAGTAAAAAAAAACAATCCAAAAAGACAACATTGTATGATTCTAACTATATATGATGTTCTGGAAAAGACAAAACTATGGAGACAGTGAAAAGGTTAATGATTGTCAGAGGTTGGAAGGGAGGAAAGAATGACTAAGTGGAGCAAACATTTTGGGGATAGTGAAAATACAGTGATACATATATGTCATTATATGAATTTGTCCAAATCCGCAGAATGTACAGCACCAAAGGTGAACGGTAATGTAAACCATGGATTGGGGTGATAATGTTGTGTCCATGCACATTCATTCGTTGTGATAAATGTACTGCTCTAGTGGAGGTGTTGATAAGAGATGCTATGAATGTGGGGGAATAAGATATATGAGGACTGTCTGTTCCTTCCTCTCAATTTTGCTGCAAACATAAAACTGCTTGTATTGTTCTGTTTCCTATTGCTGTGTGGTGTGATAAAAAATATGGTGATGTTTAGTAGGTTTTTTCTAGTTAAAAATTTATTACAGTAAAAGATGCATTGCCATTAATCTCCCACAAAGTATTCCCCCTCATTTTGAACACATTTATCCCATCATTCTTGCCACTCTCTCAAGCAGTTTTGGAAGTCTTGTTTTGTGTCTTTTTGTGGCTGCTTTCATGTCCTGAATCAATTCAAAATGTTTACAGCAATTTCTGTCACGTAAAAACATTATGGTATGTCCTCGTCCACCTTATTCACCAGATGTAGCATTCTACAACTTCCGGCTCTTTCCCAATGTCAAAATAACCATGACAGGTCATTTTGAATGACAAACATTTTAAATCAATTTAGGACACCTGGGAAGCTCCAACAGTACAATGAAAGAGGACTTCCAGAACTGCTTCAGAAAGTGCCAAGAACGACAGGATAAGTGTATTCAAAGCAAACTGGAGTGTTTTAAGAATTGATGGCAGTGTGTCTTTTACTATAATAATTTTTCAATTTAAATATTCACTGCACACTTGATCCCACCTCATATATTGAAATACCTAAAGCTAGATAAGCTTTTACGAAAAGTCCTTTATGAGCTCACTGTTTTGAAAACTTAAAGTTGGGAGTGCATGGTACTGGCCCCATTGTTAAGTTTTTTTGGCGCTAGTAAAAAATAAAACAAAGTAAAAAAATGCCTTTATTGTGGGCACCGGAAGGTGGGGGGGGTTGTCGGAGGAGGGTGCAAGGACCTTCTGAGGGCCAAGCCAGGAGAACAATAGCAAAATAGCAATATAGGGCCAGCCATATAGGGGGTGGGGTTTGGGGGGCTGTCTCTGTGAGGTGGCAGATGGTGACTGGACAGGGGGCAGGAAAAAAGGGAACAGGATGTTGTAAAGAGGAAGGAGGAAGTTGTATCCTGGCCAGGGCAGGAGGAAGGTGGAGCTTAGCACATGGACATCTCTGGGCTGCGCCATGTTGGTTTGTCACCATGATGACTTGGTCAGAAATTTCCTAAGGGTGGAAATCCATCACCCATTACCTTTGTCACCTCAGAGTGGATATCATCACAGTGTGAGAGCACTTTCAAGAAGGGAAAGTCACATAGTGGATCATAATGGAGACAGACTCTTTATAACAGCTTACTCTCAGAAAAGTCCCACAAAAACTACCTCACCTCACCAATATTATGTTTGCTCCTTCTCTTGTTTCAGTGTCTACCATAATGCCTTTCTCAAAGTGCGGTAAATGTCTGATTTGTGTTCAGGTGTAACTTCCAAGGGCAGCAGCCTGGACAATGCAGCCACCTCCCAGGAAGCCTCATCTCTTAAAGATTCTACTGCTTCTCACACCTCCTCAGTGGGAAGCAACCTTTATGTACATGAATGCTTGGGCCACACACAGCATAGCGCTGCTCTTTTATAAAGTCATTAAATAAATTCAAATTTTAAAAATGTCTACTGGAAAATGCCACATAAATTATTTAAAATACGTTGTTTGTAAAAAGTAACCTTATGAGTTCCATAGTCTTAGCACTATTGAGGTGGAAAAAACAAAGGCTCAGGGAAGTAAAGGAGCCTCCATAAGCTCCCATGAGTAATAATGACAGAGCCACTCTACCTGGCTCTTAGTCTTTCCCTCCTCAGCCACTCACACTGTTTCTTATTGTTACTGTAAGAAATTGCCAGGCACTTTGCAGTTTTAAACAACACAAAATGGGTCTCACTGGAGTAAAATGAAGGTGTCGTCACAAGTGCATTCCTTTCTGGAGACTCTAGAAGATAACCCATTCTCCAGCCTTCTCCATCTTACAGAAGCTGCAGCCATTCTTTGGCTCGCGGCCCATCCTCCACCTGCAAACCCAGCAACACTACATCAGGTTCTTCTCACATTGTACCGCTCTTGCCTGTTCTTCTGCCTCACTCTGCCTTTAAGCAAGAACGTTGGTCCCTCTTGCATAATCCAGGGTAATCTGAGGTTCAGGTTGCTAGTAATTTTAATTCCATCTGCAGCCTTAATTCTTGCTTTCCATGTAACAAGAAATTTATAGGTTCAAGAAATTAGAATGTGGACATCTTTGTAGGGGTCATGCCTCCCTCTTCTTCAAATCCCCTAATAAATCCTTTTATGAGGCAGTGTCTTCTATCTCCCTAAAAAAAAATATTTGGAGAGCGCATTGATGTGGTAAGGCTGCTGCTACTATTAAGGGGAACTTGCTGTCAGAGAAATGGGAGTGTTTTTTTAACAGGAACAGTTTCTTGTTTCCTTGGTGTTGCTCTCCCATATTCAGTGCTGTCCTTAATGTCATGTATCTACAATGTCAGCAGGAGAATAAAAAAATTCTTGTTTATCTGTGCAGTAAGCATTTAATGAACGTTT